GGCGCCGAGCCAAGGAAGCCATTCTTGAGTTTCCCCTCCTCCCCCTGCTCTTGGCTGCTGCCTCCTCCTTTCATATAGAACACTGTGTTTATCTCAATCCTGACGTTTGTCACATAGTTTGAAAATTGTCTTTTTTTTTTAAACAGTCTTACTCTGTTGCCTTGGGCTAGAGTGCTGGGACATCAGCCTAGCTCACAGCAACCTCGAACTCCTAGGCTCAAAGTTTCTTTCTGCCTCAGCCTCCCTAGTAGCTGAGATTACAGGCACCCATCACAATACCTGGCTAATTTTTCTATTTTAATTAGAAATGGGATCTCACTCTTGTTCAGGCTGGTCTCAAATTCTTGACCTCAAGGGATCCTCCCTCCTCAACCTGCCAGTATGCTAGGATTACAGGTGCAAGCCACCATGCCCAGCCTGAAATCGTCTTTTTATATATTTATATCTTCAATTAGTTCTTTACTGTGTTTATGTTTATCATGGGAATCCAATCAATATTTCTTAAATTTAACTAAATTGACTTTTAATCTTTTATAAGTTCCAATAATGCTAAGCTTTTTCCTGAATGATGGTCCTTGCAAAATTAGTTCTGTATGGATTAGTTTTCTGCCCACATTCTCCTTATTTCCTACATGACACATACTATATTTTCAAATTATTTATGAAGGTGATATAGCTAGTAGTTCACAGCCCAGGCATTGGTGTCAGAGTGCCTATTTTACAAATGCAAAATAGGTGACCTTAGGCAATCTGCTCACTTTGTGTGTGTAAACATAACTCAGTTCCTTATTTGTAGAATGGGCCTAATAACCCTAGTCATGAGGAGTAAATTAAATGAGTAATATATGCTTAATAGATTTGTACCTGGTATCATGTAACTAATATTTATTGCTTGCTTGCTTTCTTCCTTCCTTCCTCTCTCTTTGTCTTTCTCTCTTTCCTCTTTTAAAAATTATTAAATGTAAGGTTGGGTGCAGTACTGATGCCTGTAATCCTAGCACTCTGGCAGGCCAAGGTGGGAAGATTCCTTGAGCTCTCAGGAGTTAGAGACCAGCCTGAGCAAGAGCAAGATCCCAGTCTCTACTAAAAATAGAAAAAAATGAGCCCGGCATTGTAGTGGGCACCTGTAGTCCTAGCTACTTGGGAAGCTGAGGCAGGAGGATCACTGGACCTCAGGAGATTGAGGTTGCTGTGAGCTAGGCTGATGCCAAAACACTCTACCCTGGGGCAACAGAGTAAGTGTCTATCTCAAAAAAAAAAATTGTTAAATGTCTTTTCACTGTAAGCTCTAAGAAGGCAAGGACTATGATGTCTTTTTCACTATTGTTTCCTGGCACTTAGCATGGTATATAGTAATTACTAAATAAATTTGTGTAATCTGAATAATTGAACACATGACCTCCCTTACTTTAGAGTATCAGCTGAAGACAGGGAATTGTAACGGCTTACAGCCATCATCAATAGCCTTTTAAAATCAATAATTACCATCCTAGCCCTTATATTCACTTGGCTACATAACTAAGCAACTGTTTTTTTCCGTAGTTCAAGTGCAAACATTTGGATGAAAGTTACATGTGTGAAATTTTTAGAAAATTATTCAGTGACGCTGAGATGGTAAGGCAGACTTTATTCAACGGGGGCCTATCAAGTAGGTCTAGGGACCACTGCTATAGGGTCTTGTGAGGGGACAAAGATTGGGCCTAACTCTGACTCTAGCGAGGACATAGGGAGATTCATCTCCAAGGGGCAGGGTAGGGGGTGGTGGATAGAGGATTACTAAGAGGACACATCAGGGGTAAGGGAATTTCTGGCTAAACCTGCTTGATAGGATTGTTGTTGTAGGCAGGCCAGAGTGATAAAGTATTGAGGGTGATAAGATACCAAGAGTGAGAGATTTTAGCTAAACTAACTTAGCAGGAGTCTTGCTCAAAATGTGTTCTACAAGAAAGGGAAGCTTAAGATCAAATGGAGTCAGAAAGAACTCAGGAGCCTGCCTCGAGAGTGCAGGGGAGGGAGTCTTTATCAGAATCATTCCTGGATTTTTATTACAGGAACGGGGTCTAATTTACTTTTTTCAGAACTGAGAGCAGCATGTCTAGCATTGATGCTCAGGTTGAGGTGACCTTGCTCTACAGAGAAGAGAGTCTTCGGATGCTGTACTTAAAGAACAAAATGACAAGCAGTACCAAAAAAAAAAGGTGATATAGACAGCTAATTTCAGCAAGTGAAACTCCAACAGTGATTCTGAAATTTATTTTCAGTGAAAACTTTAACTTTTTCTAACATAATCTATTTTATGAAATTAGTAGTATTGACAGAGAAGAGAAAAGGGCAATTTTTCATTTTTTATCAGGGAAAGAAGTAAAGGTCTGCAGAAAAGAAGGAAAGTTAGCTTTCCTAACCTACAGACTGTTTTTTGTTTGTTTGTTTGTTTTTTTGTTGTTGTTTTTTGAGACAGATTCTCACTCTGCCGCCCTCAGTAGAGTCCTGGGCCATCATAGCTCACAGCAACCTCAAAATCTTGGGCTCAAGCAATCTTTTTGCCTCAGCCTCCCAAGTAGTTGGGACTACAAGTACCACCCACAACGCCCAGCTATTTTTTTTTTTTAAAGAGGTGGAGTCTTGGAGTCTTCAGGCTGGTCTTAAACTCCTGAGCTCCACCCGTGCACCCACCTTGACCTCACAAAGTGCTAGGATTATGGGCATGAGCCCACCACACTGGGCCTAAACTACAGACTTCTTAAAAATCACAAAACTAGGCAGCGCCCATAGTTTGGTGGGTAGGGCACCAGCCACATACACCAGGGGCTGGTGGGTTCAAAGCTGGCCCAGGTTAGCTAAAACAGCAATGACAACTGCAACAACAACAACAAAAATAGCCAGGCATTGTGGCAGGCACCTGTAGTCCCACTTACTTGGGAGGCTGAGGCAAGAGAATTGCTTACGCCCAAGAGTTTGAGGTTGCTGTGAGCTGTGACGCCATGGCACTCTACCAAGGGCAACATAGTGAAACTATGAAAAATCATAAAACTTTTTAACAAACAGATAAGGTTTTTCACCACCACAAACAAAAGAAAGTCAGCAGTAAAGGGGGTAAAAATAGTAATTTTAGAAAGCCTGAGTTGAGGAAAGTTACTATGGCTAAATGTGGACAAGGCAGGGGGGGATGACTGTAGGTTACTGAGTTCTCATTCTCTAACATTGGCCACCCCAGTGGCTTCCCAGGAGGCAGAGCTCGGCAAGTTAAGTTCACAAAGCCAGAAGCACATGAAGCCATTGGACCATCATGGCCCTACCCAACCTGAGAACTGAAAATCCAGGGTCCACTGCTGTATTTTTCCTCTGTAGAACCAGTATCGGTTCTCTTTCTGGCCAGTTAGATATGTGTGGAACATTATCATTCATGTCCTCTAACTTGTTTTTCTGCATCAAAAGTTGTTTGTCATATCACACAACCTTACAGCTTAGAAGTCATGACTTTGGGCAAAGCTGAAGCATAGACAGGTGAGAGTGATTTGAGAGGAGGAAGAGAAGAAGCAGGCTGCCTTGAGTAGGTTTCAGCTTCTGGCCCACGTGACCAGGAACTCAAGCTGCTGCATCTTAATCCTGTCCTCAGGAAAAGACAGTAAGACTGTAGATTCCCTCCCTGGGCAAATGCCAGGTGGCTTTCTAGTAGTTCTGGCTTGGCCAAAGGACATAAGAGTCTTTTATTCTTACAACCCAGATATTCTTCCTACACTATAGTTTTGTATCTGGAGTCTTTTCAGTATAAACCTTATGAAAGAAGAATTTCAGCCTTTCACACACAAAGAGAAAGGCAGGGAGACAGTGGACAGGCAGGCAGAGGAGGGTGAGGAACAGAGGGACTCTGGCCAGATGTGTCTTTACCACTTTCTGGTTCCCTTCATTATCAGTCAGCAGCCATTCAATATCCAGGGTGTCTTTTTCTGGAAGCCCCAGTTGATGGTGACAGGGCAGAGTGACCCTTTCTTCTGCCACTCTCTTGATCTCAGTGTGAGTCCCCAAGGTTCCAGTGTCATAGGAAACTGAAAAAGGAAGACATGTAATGAGTAATACGGAAAGTAGACAGCCATGTGTGGGGAGCAGACACTACAGCAGATAATCATTGGGTGTTCCCATGGGCAAGGAGCAGGTCAAGGTGCTGGGGGAATACTGGAACAAAAGTCTCACAGTAGTTTCTCCATTACTCACATCGTCTTTAACCCCCACCTAATTATACCTTACTGGTACCTGTCTTTCCTACCTTACTGCGTTTACATGAACAATGAAATTGCTGAATCTTGTTCTGTTGCAGGGACTGGAGTGCCGTGGCCTTGTCACAACTCACTGCAAACTCAAAGTCCTGGGCCCAAGTCATCTTCCTACCTCAACTTCCTATGTAGCTGAGATTACAAGCGTGCACCACCATGCCCACCTCATTTGTCTCTTTTTTGTAGAGACAGGACCTTTCTATATTGCTGAAACTCCCAGCCTTAAGCCATTCCCCCTCCACAGCCACCCAAAATGCTAGGATTACAGGTGTGAGCCACCATGCCCAGGCAACTGTGCCTTTTGATCTCTCTGTGTCCTACTAACAGAGGCTTCCAAAAGGATGATAAATATGGAAACTACACACTTAGTTGCCCAGCAACTCATGTTCTTGAAATTATAGAATCATAACCATTTGAAGCTAGGAAAAAAAAACCTTAGAGATGAACCGTCTTATTTTACAAACAAGATTTTTAAAATCTAGCAACAGAGTTGGCACCTGTTGCTCAGTGAGTAGGGTGCCAGCCCCATATACCGAGGGTAGCGGGTTCAAACCCAGCCCCAGCCAAACTGCAACAACAACAACAAAAATAGCTGGGCATTGTGGCAGGTGCCTGTAGTCCCAGCTACTCGGAAGGGAACAGCTAAGTAACCTAAGGCCAAGAGCTGGAGGTTGCTGTGATGACACGGCACTCTACTGAGGGTGACAGGGTGAAACTCTTGTCTCTAAAAAAAAAAAAAAAAAGAAAAATCTAGCAGTAGTTGTTGCTGACCAGGAGCTTATATTTAGGAAGATGAAGAAACAACTACACAAATAGTGTAGTATATAGGGAAATTATTCATGATCAAAGGGCTATGCAAATTTAGAGGAGAGAACTTACAGGTGATTAATTATAGGGTTCATGGAAAGTTTAAAAATCCTTCAAAGGTTTTGTAAATGTTAAAAATACAAGGCCAGGCACGGTGGCTCACCCCTATAATCCTACCACTCTGGGAGGCTGAGCAGGTGGATTGCTTGAGCTCAGGAGTTTAAGACCAGCTTGAGCAAGAGCAAGACCTGATCTCTACTAAAAATATAACTAAGTAGCATGGTGTTGTGGTGCACACCTGTATAGTCCCAGCTACTTGAAAGACTGAGGTAAGAGGATCTCTTGAGCCCAAGAGTTTGAGGTTGCTGTGAGCCTCTGTCTCCAAAATAAATAAATAAATTAAAAAATATATATATATGGTATATAAGTCATATAGTATAGCATTTAGCACTTAGTAGCTCTGAGTAAAATGCAACTGATTTTATTACTAAGAAGGTGCTTTTTAATAGGGGCCTTAGAAAATGGAATTCATGTAGATAGAAATGAAAGATGAGAAATGGTGTTGAGATGTGGGGTGGGGGGAAACTGACACAGGATGGGAATGGTAATAAAAAGGTCAGCTGTCTGGCATGGAGAATAAAAGTGAGACAGTAGTAACAAGTCAGGCTGGAAAAATAGGGCGGTTCATGTGATAAAAGGCCTGGCCTGCTGCAGTGTGACAGAATCCATTGCTTTGTTTAAGGCAGAGATATTTGGGAGCTGTGTGTAGACAGGATGGGGCAAATACTCAGACATGCATTTGTGAAAAAGCTATTAAATTTTTCCAGCTGGGAAATACTGTCCAAGATAGCAGTGAAAGTAGTTTCAAAAAAAAAGGACTGATTTGAGAGGTAATATGGAATTCAAAACTCTACAATATAGCTGCTTACTAGATCTAAGAAGAAATGAGATTCAAAGCTAAAGTTTGTTTAACTGATAGGATGGTAACTGCATTAGCAGTGATTGGGAAGTCAGGTGCATGATGTGTTTTTATTTTGGGGTGAGGTGGGAGGACAGACACTGAGTTTAGATTTAAGGCTTTGGCAGTATGCAGGCAGAACCGTCCAACAGGCTTCCCTGTGCTCTTTTCCTGACCATAAGGCCTCCATTTCCACTGAAGATACTCACACAGCTCCCCACATAGTGTCCACCTTCTCAGTTGTTGCATTAGAGGAAGTTGCAGCACCCCGGGCAGTGCTTTCTTCTTCATTTGTCATTTCTCTTGTGCTTCACAAATAAAGCTCTTAGAAACACTCCTATTCCATCAGTTGTACCAGGGCTGACCTGTATCAAGTCCCTGAATTTTCCTTGGTCATTCCACAGAAACCCTGTATGTGGGAGTTGGCATCCTCCCCAGAACAGGCTCTGATACCAGGCCACGAGCTGGTCTCCAGGGCACTCCTTACAGCCTTCTCACGGACAAGTTCCTTTCCCAGACCGCTTTATTAAGTGCAGAGAAGCCTCCGGGTATAAGTGGGCTCTGCTTCCCTAAGAGATACACATTCTTTTATCTTTACAAATTCTGTCTTCCATTCTCTATGGTTTTGTGCCATGCAGTTTCAAAATCTGAAACAGGCTGGATACAGTGGCTCACTCCTATAATTCTAGCACTTTGGGAGGCTGAGGTGGGGAGCCTGCTTGAGCCCAGACTGGGCAACATAGCAAGACCTGCCTCTATAAAAAAAATGTTAAGAATCAGTTAGGTGTAGGGGTGTTTACCCATAGTCACAGCTGCTCATGGGGCTGAGGGAAGAGGATTGCTTGAGCCCAGGAATTTGAGGTTACAGTGAGTTATACTGACACACTGCATGTTAGCCTGGGTGACAGAACAAGACCCTGCTCTGTCTAGACAAGACTGCACGACGTAGCAAGATCCTGCCTCTATAAAAAATGTTAGGCAGTCATGGTGGCTCACACCTGTAATCCTAGCACTCTGGGAGGCTGAGGCAGGTGGATTGCCTGAGCACACAAGTTCAGGAACACCCTGAGCCAGAGTGAGAATCTCGTCTCTAAAAGTAGCTGGGCTTTGTGGTGGGCATCTGTAGTCCCAGCTACTCATAAGGCTGAGGCAAGAGAATCACTTGAGCTCAAGATTTAGAGGTTGCTGTGAGCTATGATGCCACGGCATTCTACAAAGGGTGACAAAGTGAGACTGTCAAAAAAAAAAAAAAAAGTTAAAAATCAGGTGTAAGGGGCATTTTCCTGTAGTCCCAGCTTCTCACAGGGCTGAGGGAGGAGGATTGCTTGAGCCCAGGAATTTGAGGTTGCAGTGAGCTATATTGACATACTACATGTTAGCTGGGTGACAGAGCAAGATCCTATCTCAAAAAAAAAAAAAAAAAAAGGAAAAAAAGAATTCACACCATACTCCTGCAGACCTTCGCATCTCTGTTCCTCTCACCTGTTCTCTTTGAAAGTGCTCCAAACTTTCTCTTTGTTCTTCCTAAATAAAATCTCTCTTTCTTACCCTGGAAAAAAAAATCTCCAGTCTGCCTCAATTTCTATCCAAAGCAAAATTCTGAGTTGTCCCGTTGGGATACTGTCCCTCTGTCCATGTAATATTGCTCTTCGGCCAGTAGGAATTCAGGTCCACATTTGGTTTTCTTTACCTCCTAATTACATCTTTTCCCAGGATAGTACCCTGTCAGCAACTTCAGATTCTGGTATAGATTGAATTTTTGTGCCCCTGCAAAATTCATATGTTGAAATTATAAGGCTCAAATGTGATTGTATTAGGATTAAGGCATTTGGGAGGTGACAAAACCGTAAGGATAGTGTCATAATGAATGGAATATTAAGGACCTTAAAGAAGTCCCTCACCCCTTCTGCCATGTGAGGACACAGAGGATGGTGTCTATGAACCAGATAACGAATCTTCTGGCACCTTGATCTTGGTCTTCCCAGCCCCCAGAACTGTGAGAAACAGAGGTCTATTATTTAAGCCGCCCAGGCCACAGTAGCTTATTATAGCAGCATGAACTCCAAGGCCCCAAGCCCATCTTCTCTCCTTCCTGTTAATCTCCTTCAGTACCTGGCTAAGGATCTGACAATGTTGACTGTTAAATCTATAGTATTGAGGACTGATATGATGAAGCATTATCTAAATTGTAGGTACTATGTGCCTCCCATTCAAGGTGTGCTTTAGCCCTAGATCTCCTTTTCTTTTCTTACACAGTAATAAACACGCTCAGTGTGAAAGATGATCTCTTTTAAGCCATTCATAAGCAAAGAGAATCATACAACCTCCAGTGTGCCAGGGCATGTGTGAAGTCTTTTCTCCTGGAGGGAACTCATGCTACCACTTCAGGAGGGTTTTAAAAGCTAAAGACCCAGAGCTATGGCTGATAGAAGCATATCAGCTACCTCTCCTAGTCCCTGTTCATTTCCCAAAATTGATTAGCAAGTAATCAGTGGGAAGGAGAAAGGCCTGTATTTTTGCCTTCAGGGAAATGAAATGAGAAAGAAGAGAGCAGGGGAGACTATATTTCAGTCCACAGTAAGGCTGCTTGGGCTGAGACTGCAGGGAGGAGCCCTCCAAGCCAACCCACCCAGGTGAGTTGCTAAGCACAGTGTCAGGGAAAGGGGCCCACAGGATTCTGCTGGGCCTATGAGGGGCCTTCAGAACCGAGGGGTTATGCCCTGTAGGGTCTTACTGACATTCTCAAGAAGGGTTCTCTCATTTCTGTTTAGAACTTGAAACTGTACCTTTTTTTTTTTTTTGTAAGTTAGAGCTAAAGCCAAAAGGGGAACTGAACTCTCACTGGCCAAAGGGCACTATTACATGGATGGATGGATGGACACAATCCAAATAGGAAACCATAATTTTGCTTCGGATGGAGAAAACTATTTCCGATTTGTTTTTGACCCGGGGTCTCACTCTGTCACGTAAACTGGAGTATGTAGAGCAGTGGCACAATCGTAACTCACTGCAGCCTTGAATACCTAGGCTCAAGGGGTCCTTCCACCTCAGCCTCCTGAGTAGCTAGGGCTATG